TTTATTTTGGAACCAGCGCCATTATCTCTCGTAACTCATCGCATTTTACATCAAACAAGAGCCTTTATCATTCTTTACAGGCTATACATTTTAAAGGCATGAGATGAAAGGAAAGACTGGTTTATCAAGAGGGAAAACATCTTTAGGTAATATCCATATACGTCACTGGGTAATTTCCTGAATCTTCAAATAATTCGACTGAGAAATCATGGGATGCTACGTTTATGATACAATATGATGTTCTATGAATTAATTTAGCCCACCAGTGGACGAGCGGTAAAAGTCGCTGAACACTGGTAGTTCGGTCCGATGTTCGAACCCGCGAACGTGCTGGCTGCATGTGCGTTTTCGTAGTTTTCCCCATGTGTAACATGTATACGAGCCGGTTTCCCTTAGAAAGTCCTCCACGAAGGCATCCCTCCCCTTAGGCAGATAGCCCTCGAGGCTTTGCCATAATCACACACACACACACACACACACTATGAATTAATTTAAATTTATACAACCACACAGTCGAAAGCCCGTCGCTCATCACTTTAATCTGAATTGATATCGTTTTTGTCTTTTCCGTTAGCACAAACTCAATTGCTGCTATTTACTGGTGTACACGTCCTTGCATTCTTGTGAATTTTTTAAAAATATCAGTTGCATCAAATGCGTTTCAACTGAAGACAGCTTTTAATTTTCTAGACATTTTAACTATCAATAAAGTTTAAAGCTAATTCCAAAGGATAAATATTTGAATTGAAAGATTTTTGTTAAATGAAAAAGATATAAACCACTCCAGCAGCGCTTATCCTGTACCACCGAGTGACCCGATTCTTATATCGGATGCAAACAATCTAAACCATATTATTTAGAATTTTTAAGCCTAATAATTTCTATATTAAAGAAGATTATTTTTATAATCTACAACACTAGAGAAAATTACTACTTAAAACATTCTTTCTAAGAGGATTAATGTAAAAACTTATATTTATATATATATATTTTTAAAGCTGGGACATGACCCAAACTGTCAACGTCTTGTTTGCTTAAAAACATTGTGAAAATAAACATCAAACGAACTTTCTCAGTTTTAGACAATTCAGTTTAAATTAAGTTAAAGTAAAGTAGCGGACGATAACACAGCGAAGATAAAAATTTACTCTTACAAATATATATAAAAAAAGAAAAAAGAAAATTTTAAAAAGATATTAAAAATTTGAATAATATCATCTATAATTTAAAAAAAATAGCTTTTCATATAGCATTGAAAAATATTTATTACGCATCATTGAGAGAAAAGATTTCATATAACTAATTCTCCGTAAAAATTTATTTGAAATTTAAGGTTAAAAATAGCTGTGGCAATTCACCGTAACAAAATCCATAAACTACATTTGGCATTATTATCGCTCAAGGAAAAGATGCCAAATTTCAAAACGCGCAAATATGTAAATTCGTGTATATCTTAGAAAAATTTTAATAAAAAACTCTAATTTTTTGCTGGTATGCTTAGAACTACACCTACTTTAAGATGATGGTTAAATTTTTACAGGTTATAATTCAACATGTTCTTCGAAAAAATTATAAAAATTATTTAAAAATATAAATTTTTAAAATAAAACACAAAGAATGGGTGAATTTTATTTGGAATGAACCTCAGTTTCGAAATGTGAAAGGAAAAATAAAAAACTTTTAATAAAAAAAGAGATATTAATAAATATATGCCAAATTCAATTAACATTGAAGAGCTAAAATTTTGAGAGCTAATTTTTTAAACTCGTACGATTTTTACAAAACTTGGCAGCATGACAATTTGAGTCGTAGAATCGAAATATGGAAAAAAATTGGTGTGTTATTTCAGAAGAAGTCCGATTTTATGTCAAAATATCTATGTTAGAATAGTGCTATATATAAATTCTAAGTCGCGCTTTCGAGATATGAAAAACGCAATTTAAACTTTGTCAATCGGCCCAGTAGGACGGGAGATATAAAACTGTCCCCCCTCTTTTTTTCCCCCGCAGTGAACCTTTATCGCCTGAGAAATACGTTCAAGATCTCCAGGTAGGTGTGAAGTGATGCGGAATTTTGCTCGAGAGCGAGACAACTTAGCGACTGAGAAGAGAAAGAACCGATACGACATGAGTGCCACAGGACATCGATTCAATGAAAGTGACACGGATGGAATCCGACTCGACGAAAAGGACTTTTCTCCTAAACTACAGTCGTCCTCCTGACACAGTCCTAAACGGGATGAACGATGTAGTAGTTCAGTGTGTCTTCAAATTCTAAGCCTAAAATCATTCATTATGACAGGCTACCACTATGCTATTGCAATAGTAGATATTCCCCATAGTCTATATGTAATGTAAATAGTAGAATAAGACCTTGGTTCTATTTATATTTAAATCTGCAAAGTCAAGCATTTATTTATTGATTCAATATTTGATCTGCTGTATGTTATTTATCGAAATTATTGTTTTAGTATTACGTTGATTTTCCTTAGTTGTAAGTACTACGTTCAGAAATTCCTTCCTGTCTAGGGATTCTAATGCCCGGGCCGTGAAGTCCTTGAGAACGAGGCAATGTTACGAACTTTGTATATATATAAATAATTTTAATGAATTATATGTAAAATTGGGGGTATCGCTTGTGTAATGTAACATGAAGTGGCTCTAAAAAGCAAAAATTTGTCGGAAAAATAAGATTATTTGAGCACATCTATTTAGCATTGAGGTAAATGGCTATCTCGCTAAATTGGCGAGATATCGTCAAGGTGGCAATAGGTTTGGCGACTAATTTTTGTGGCGAGATTTGGAGATAAATCGCCCTAAGTCACCAAACTTGTGACATTTTGGTCCAGTCTCTGTGTAACTGTAATTGATGCTGAAAGTGAATAACTGTAACTGATCGCTAGATGTAACTGTAACCATATGCGACCCTTATATGTAATTTTGACCATATATTCCTTCCAGTAATTTCGAGAAATGGAAGATATTGGAGATTTCTCGGCGGCCAGAGAAAACTGTATGTCCGGAAAGAGCATCAGTTCTCAGCGTTTAGTTCAGAGCACTGAGAGATCTCCATGAGGGCTTCGCTTTCTAGATGCACTTTGCATTATGTTGCGTTTAACGTTATTACTAGTTTTAAGTGGTAACTACTGATTGAGCTCTGCCTTACTGAGAAAAGCTGTACGTGTACTTTTGTGGGAAGTTTGTGGGAAGAAAATTTATAGTTCAGAACTATAAATTTTTCTTTTGAGAAAGTAAATTTTATCATGCTATGGTCAGTTCTCTCCACATTCAATACATTACAAACCCGTAACCACGTAACCACACGGCTGGCCATTAAAATTGCAACACCATGAAGGAAAGCAAATACAAAAAAGATATTTCTTGTACGTAAATAGTATGGCATAAAGATAAAATGATTAAATTTGTAAGCAGTTTGGAGGTTTACAGGGGTGCGAAATTAGTAGAAACAACTGCCACCACTGGCAGCTAAAACGGCCCTTCCCCGGTTAGGCAGGGAGGAGAACTGGGTGTGGATGACAGAAACGGGCAACTCATTCCATGTTGCTTCAAGTCTATGCCCACTTCATCAACCGCATTAGCTGGAGAGGGGTGGCGAGTCAGTCTCTCAGCAACCCATGACCAGATGTTTTCAGAGGGTGACAATTTGATTAATCGAATACCTTGTGTATCGAGGGAGGTCAGAACACGACGTGCAACACGTGGTCCTTCATTATCTTGTTAGAAGATAGCGTTTCGCGGGCCTCGAATATAGAGCACAACCACTGGAAATAAGGTGTCAGAAATGTACCGTCTGCGTTCAAATTAAAATTGATTGCTACAGATGGATGTGTCATGTACTTAATGGCTGCCCAAACCATCACACTAGCCGCAGGGCCGATATCGAATTGCAAGGAGGCAACGTGAGGTCTTCTCGGAGCCTCCAGACACGTATACGGCCTTCAGAATACTGCAGGCAGAACCGAGACTCGTCTGAAAAAAATCACGTTGTGTCACTCCTATATCCAACTTTGTCGTTCGGAGTATCAGAGTCGCCGTCTCTCTCTATGCTGCATTGTCAAAGTTTGCCGAAGTAATGGTCGCCGTGCTGCTAGTCCATGCTGCTACAAACTTCGACGCACGTTACGAGCTGATACTGGGCGTACTGCAAACATGCCGATTTCCTGACTAATGGTCTGTGATATGGTTGCATAGTTTTGCAGGACTGACTTCACAATATGTCTGTCCTCTCGAGCGTTAGTCGTGGAAGGGTGTTGAGACCCTGCATGCCGTTCAGTATTACCCTGAGTAATCCATTGATTCCATATTTGCATGACAGTGGTTGGATGCCGACCAGTGCGACGGGCAATATCATGGAATGATAATCCACACTCTCGGTAGGCAAAAATCTTGCTGGTAAGCCTTTCTTCTTATTATTCGAGGCATAACACGATATTCTGAGCAAATCCGAACTTATAAAGCACTTTCCGAATGAGAAATCCACTACACATCTTTTCTTTTATGCAGTGCTTCAAATGTTGTTTCTTTCTCCTGCGTCTTCTAAATGCGCTGAAATTCTATTAATTTGCATATCCCAACCTGTTCTTCCTTTCCTGTGATTTTGACATTCGTCAGATCATTCCTTCCTGGTGTTGCAACTGTAATGGCCAGCAGTGTATACACATATATTCCGCCCTATATGGAAGTTATTGGTTATCTTTTACTTCCTTTTGTTAAATTCCAGGTATTACTAATATTTACCAGGAAGAGTTACCGCAAATGTTGTTTGGAAAGATAAATGATCTGGAATGGAAACGCAGGAAGTGAAAAAGAGACGTACCTTTCTTTTTATTGTCTAGTTAGTTTGGAGGCTACGAAATTTACTTCCTGCTTTATCCTTATCACTGTGTTAAGTAATTAAAAAAGATAATTTTCCCTTCTCTGCCGCTGTTAATGTGAGAGATAAGATATCACCATTATGCGATACTTCCCTAGATAACTGAACTTTGAACTGTTATCGTTTGCTTCATTTTGCTCCTTTTCGAATCAACCAAGCTTTGAGTTACACTGCTGGTAAGAATTGACATTATTATTTCAATATACTTCATTTAGTAGTATTTTATATCAACTGGTTGAAAAATTTCCTTTATTTTCTTAAACTTTTAATTTTCCTTTCTGTGAATCTGATAAATTTACAGAAAGCTTTTAAAAATCAGATAAATTGTTTCTTGATTAAATTTGATTGTCATCATATGATATATTTATTTTTATGAGAGAAATTTTGTATGAGAGTAATAAAACATTTTTAAAGAGAAAAAATTAGGAAACTCTATTGTCCAGATAACTTTAAATTGTCTTCACACGATGCACATTACTTTTGAAAAAAAATTGTTTTAAATTACTTCCCTTTCTTCTTATGAAGACATATGAAGAACATTCGAAATTTAGATAAATTACTGCAAAAGAAGCAAGAAACGTTTCTAATTTTAATTGTAGTAAAAGTATTGGCACCCAAAACCGCAGATGGGTGTATTTAAGTATGCTTCAAACAAATCGTATTTAATGACTAAGGAATAGTGAAAGTTCTTCAGACTTCGAAATTGTTTAGTTGCCTTTTGCAAGAATCATAATTATTGTCTTTTGATATATAATAAGTACTTCTTATTATTATTTGTCCTAATTATTGACATTTCGTCGTTTCAAATGCTTTGAAAAGAAATTTATCTTTCAAGTTAAAAATTGTTAATAATTTCTCTCGCTGTCTTTTTTTTTTTTAAGATGTTAATGCTGTAAACATGTAAACTACATTTAAATATATGGAGAGAACATTTAATTATTTTTTGAAAATTAAAATTTCATTTTTATCATTATCGAGAATCAGATTTGCGCATAACTCTTGACTACTTTTGTGTCAAAACTGTACATCGAAGTACGTATAAGCAAAAAAAAAAAAAAAAAAAAAAAAAAAAAGCAATTTTTTCAAGTAAAGTTTTCTTAAAAAAATCTTCCGAAATTACTTTTTAAATTTTTATAAAAAAAAATAAATAAATAAAATAAATTAATAAAATAAAATAAAAGGATTTAAACAACCCCCCCCCAAAAAAATTCCTGTATTTATTTGTTCAGACTACCTGAATATTCTAATTAAGCATTAAATATTCTAACTGCAAACTTTTAAATCAACACTGAGTCAAATAATCTTTTAGCTATAGGATGAGCTAAAGGTCAGAAGAATCAGCGTAATATTGGCAAATTTGGCAAAAAGGCCGAAACAGGAATTATAAAAGATCAGAATAGAATAGGTTAAGAAATAAAATAATTTTAAACATTTTTTTTCTTTAAATAGAGCGCTGTTTTTCAATAAAATTTTCTATTTATCTGGAAAAGAAACTTGCCAAGGCAAAATATAAAGTTTGACCAAAAAGTAAATATAATATATGTAAATAACCTCAGACTAGCGTAGATTTTAGGTAAAACTCTATCGAAGGATCTGATTTACGTCTTCAACAGCGAAAATGATTTTATCAAAACATTTATAAAATTCTGCCGATTTTGAGGATCAGTTAACACAGCTTCTTCAGGCCTATCAGCGGCCAAGCTGTAAAAATGCCTGAACACTGATAATTCGATCTGGGGTTCAAATCCAGGCAAGCGGGTTGTCTGAGTGGGTGTCTTCGTGGTTTTCCCCATGCGTAACGAACGCGTGTATACGAGCCAGTTTCCCTTTAAAATTTTTTCCATGAAAGCATTCTTATCCTTAGGCAGATAGTCCTCGAGTGTTACGCGATAACCAAATAAGTCAAACAGTTTTAGCTCCTTCTTCTTCAGGCGCATAGTTCCTTAGGAGCATAATTCCTTCTTCAGGAGCATATAATTTTCCAAAGTTTGCTTAAAAATAAGAAAGACCTATATCAGCTCTCCCTCGAAATCGATCAAGGTATTTCTCCCGCCTTGTTGGCATTCCTTCGTGGTGTGGTGGTCTGCAGGCTGGGCGCGTATCCCAGAGATTCCCTGTTCGATTTCCGGTAAAGGCGTTGCATATTTTTCATCTTTCTTGCTTCCAAAATACCTAATGTCTCTACAAAGTCTTATCTAACAGTTAACTTTGTTTTTTTTTTGGGGGGGAAGATCTAAATTTTACAAACTTTCTATTGTTTGAATATCGTAATTCTGACTATTTGCTCTGACTGAAGATACAGCCTTATGTTTTTAATCAGTGTTTTCGGGATAAATAAATTTGAAAATTTTTAAAGTCCTTTTTTTTTTTTTTTTTTTTTTTTTTTTTTTAAATTCTATTCTCGAAGTACAGTCAAGCATGAGGAATCATGTTCAGCGCAGAGATATGATTCTTATTGATAAATTTAATTCTTCAACCTTGCTGTTACCTGTTGTTAGATATGGGATTGGGATATAATCAGAAATTTATACTCTGAGAAGACCAGCTTATTTAGAATGTTCAAATGCATAAATAGTAAGCATTCAATTATATTTACTTTAACTCTGAACCAGAAATTTTTAATGCTTTTTAATTTAGAGAATTTTTTATTATATCAGACATAATGTGCTTTCATTTTATGAATCATAAGGACAGAAAAAGTAATTCACTTTCTACTTACATTGCGCAAGCAGACGCGTAATATAGGATTGCGATATACAATTATCTTACTGTCTGTCTGAAAAATTGAAGGAAAAAAAAAAAAGAATACTGTTTGAATATTGTCTAACTGATTTGCATTCTGGTGAAGAAACGGGAAGGAGAAGTTATAGTGAAAAATCCAAATCATAAAAACTTGGTTAATTTAAATAATAGTAACAGTCATCTTCCCCCACCAGAATTTAAGTAAACGCAATAGAGGTGCTTAACGACTTTTTCAAGATTTTAAATTCCAGCCTGCAAATGAACCAACTTTTGCAAACATGATTTTAAAAGCCTAAACCTAAATTTAAAATTTTGCAGACGACTGACTTCATAGCTTCATGACATCACTATTTTTTATAATTGTATTTCATGTCCTCCCAGAGATCTGGAAGCTAACATATTTTATTTTAGCAAACTTATCTTTAGCCTTCCTTATATTTCACTTACCACTTCAGCTTCATCAGAATCTTGCACGCTCTGCACTTTCTCTTCAATTAATTTCACACCACTGCTCTTAGCAGTATAATGTATGCAAGAGCATGTGTGCATTGGCATGACGTATTTCACACTACCTCTTAACCGAAATCCTACATGTTAATCACTTAGACACACTGAACCTCAACGAACATCTTATTTCAAGACTGTACCTAATATGCTAAGTTAAAAAAATTTGATTACAATTTTCGTGTTGGCTAGAGAACCTAACTTTTAACTACTTACATACACTACCCTGGCTTTTACTTTAATTTAACTTACTTTCACTTATTAGCTTGTGCTTAAATTTATTAGCCTTAAGTATATATTACTTTTGCAACACAGTAAACAAACATGCTTCATGAAACATTTGGAATTCATTTGCATCCAAAAGATTTCTCAGTTTGCACTTTACACCATATGATATAGAAGTTGCTTAAATCTATTCTACAAATGTGCAAAACATTTTATCAAAATGGTCTCTTAGACAAAATCACAAAATCATGCTTATACTAGAAACTCAAAATCTTTCACGTAATTGCATAATTAAATTGAAAAGTTTCTTGTCGCATAAAAATCTGAAAATGTCCTCGCTTGAAATAAAACTCAAAACTAGCAACTGTTGCACTTATCTCTAAACCAATACTGAATACTTAAAGAAAATGAATCTACTTCCCTTTAATTTTGGTGGTACTCCTGAATTTCTATCTCCACAATTTCGCTCCAGAAAGGATAGGATGTGTCGTTATGTGCTGAGCGCGTAACTTCTGGCGAGGTCGTTGATTCCCTGGGATCGTCCCCATTTCGCTTCTTGGGTCGGTCTCTAATTTGTTTGGACTTCTTTTGAGTTTGTGGGAGCTAGTTTGTCTCCTGTCGCTTGCTTGATCCTAGATTTTCCGTTGGAAACTTCCGTTGGATAGCCTGAGACTTCATCGGCTGGTCTGGCTGTTGATGAGCCTTCGGTAAGCTCCTCTGATTCTTTTAGAACACCGTCGGATATCGTGGCTCTCCTCCTTCGATCATCTGCAGTGAGAAATTTGTGTTGGGTGTCCGCACTGCTTCCTGCCGCTGCAAACCTCTTCCGACAACTGGCTCCTTGTTCTTTGATCTCCAGACAGGCATTGCTGATCACTCCATATGGTCGCCGCATCTGCTGAATCTTTGTATTTTTCTTTACCTTTTTGAGAATTTTCTTTTTTTTTTATCATCCTGGTCTTTCTTTACCGATAATTTTGCTTCCTTTGACTCATCTCACTTCTTACTCACCATTTTCAGCCTCCTTTCTCTTTCTTTGGGGACCTTGAATTCCGATGCTGTTGGTATTTCCACTGCTTTTCCAGATGGACCTTCATTGCTCCCACTAGGTGATTCCTGAAAAACATCTCTTAAAAGGCTCCTATCGGAGTGCTCATAATAGCACTTTATCTGGTCTACATTCGCTTTAAAACTTCCCCATTTTGGGCTTTTAGATACATTACAGTTTACCTTATCCTCTCAATCACAAATGAGCCTTTGAAGTCATTGCAAAACTGATAATTCTGAGCTTAAAAGGGAATTTAACATTGAAAGTGATTTTGAAAATTAGGTGGATTTTCATAATCCAGATATTTTCATACCTGATATGAGGCTAAGTACAAATGATATTCTCGGAAGCAAACTAGATTATTTCCGAGATAGGAATTCAGATCCTCGATACTTTCCCGAAATTGATACAGAATAAAACAATAGATTCATTCCTAGATATCAAATGGATTTGACTGCTTAAGATGATTTTAAAACTGAACGGAATGACAGAGGCAAAGGCGTTTCTTTTGTTGAATTGGAATATTACCGAAATCATTATTTGGATGCTTGTGATGTTTCGAGAACTGAAATGGGAGAAAGGATTGAGGAATTTCCTGAAAACCATATGCTGATGATTATTTGCGTTATTTTGAAATGCGAAGTGGAACTGAATGTTAAAGAGATCTCTCAAGGTTCATTTATCTACAGGAGCCAGAAAAAATAGGCTGTTGTTAAATTAATTCTGAAAACAATGCAAAGAAACATGACACAACGTCAAGCCGGGGGCTTATACCTTTTATAGTGACACTATTGTTTAGCGGCAAGAAGCGTTGGTTTAGCGGCAAGAAGCGTTTACTACTTAATAAAATTTGGCTATTTTTTAAAATTAAAAAGAAAGATTCATATTTTTACAGAATAACACAATATAAAATTATATTTTGTGATGCCATATAATGTTGTATACATTTGCTATGTTATCATTGTATTATTTTTGCATTATTTCGCCTAGTTATTGACTCCTGATGATCAAACAGTTTGCTACTGTTTTTCAGTATTGGTTCATATTTCTATAAAGCTTGCAACTTTTACGTATTTTATTGTGTCACTGTCCTTGGTGTAATGCCATGGTATTTCTGCGTGATTTTTTTTATGTATGTGTGCAAATTAAAGCTGCGTAAATCCAAGCACGCAAAAAATTTTTTGAAGGAACAAATATTTTTTTTTTTTAAAAGGGAAGGAGATGAAACTTTTTTCAAGCAACGCGGGAGCAGGAGCAGTGTTCCTTTGGCTTAGTTTCACCGTGCTTGGAATATTTTTTGCTCGGTCATAAATTTTTGCACGCATTAGAACTTTGTGCCTACCTCACAAAAGGGCTGAGATGCCTCTCCTCGTCTTTGCCGGAAGGAGCGGACTTTAAGAAGAAGACTAAGTTAAGAAGGAGACTGGAATTAGACAGACAGAACATGGAGGCGGAGCTTCTCTCGCTCAGTTCTATAAAAGATGTACTTTAAAAAATGTTTAAATGTAACTATCGTACATAGCTTTATATAATTAAATTTATTTAACCTAGAAATGCAATTCCAGGTCTGATTGTTGGCTACGTTATAGTGTAGTTTACTTCAGATTGAGTTAAAATGAAAAATGAGATCTTGCTCTGAGTTTTTCCGAAATCTATTCCAGCTGTTATAAGCTTCTAAGTTTCTTATTCATTTAATCCTGCTAATTTTTTGTTGTTCGAAATCTGCGTATGAGTTTCTTCAGCCGCCATTTTTGGAAATAGCCATTTTGGTAGGAAAATGTTTGTATGTTATCACGAAAACGAACTTCGTTATTCAAAGTGTTAGAAATTAGTGCATGTAATTAATCTATGCTTATTTTCAGCGGAGTAAAGTAAGAAATTAATTATGTAAAAATAATTGAATTCTTAAATACTCAAAGTATTTTGTATGCTTGAAATTGCGTTTCGAATGAAAGAGTAGTCTATGTTACTTATAAAAAGTACTAAAAGAAAGTTAAGATAAATTGATAATGAATGTAAATGTTAGGCTCTCCAGCCAACACTAAGTTTAATTTTCACTAGCGTTAGCACGTCAGGCTGAGATTTGATTATAGGGTGTCTGTCTAGGTCTGGTTGGTTTAATTCTAACAAGTAAATGTAGGGTAGTCGGTAAGTGTTGTACTCGTTTTACATAAAGCACGCTCGCAATTTACAGTACACAATGCTGGAGAGCAAGGGGTAGTTTTAATGTGGATGAAGAGATTGAAATGAGTAAATGTAGGAAAGGTTGAACTGTTAAAAGAAAAAAAAATATTGAAAGTGTGGCAAATGTAAAATACGTTTAAGCACTTACTAAACTTTTTTTTCCTTCCAGCACACCTGGAAGGAGACAGAACAAGAATTGCTAAAGAAGGAAGATACTGTAAAAATGTGCCACATTGTGAAAATTTTAGTTAATATGTAGATTAAGATTGTGAAGGTGAACTCACATGTAGATTTTGAATTTAGCTATCTTATCCAGGCTTTTAAAGCCTTGTTGTGCGATAGTTAAATTCTGGCGAGGAAAAATGTAGGGTTTTCCTTATTTTCCATAACAAATTTATTTTAAGTTTGATACCCGTTCTAGATTTCTCAACTTCCCCTCACATTTTCTCGCCAGGATGTAAATTTAAAGTTAAGTGAAGTGCTATTTAAACGTATGAATATTTCAGTTTATTCAGAGCGTGTTTCGCTAGCCAAGCGCACGTTTCGTTGTTATTTCACGGTCACGCTAGTAATCAGATTAGTTGATGAATCAGATTAGTATCACGCCAGTTAGATTCCTGTGAGCCTTTCTCTTAGTCGTAAACTTAAGTGCGTTCTTTCACTATTTATTTCAGGTTTGACTTCTACGTTTATATTCTACGTTTCACCGCAAGTGGACGGTGCCTTTTTAACGCACGTAGTCCGTGCCTTTCTGTTAATTAGTTTGAATTAATAAAGGGTTATTTTCACCCTTCTTCTGTCCTGGTAATTAATTCACGCTTGTGCGAGAATTCGCCAGGTTCATTGTAGGATCTTATTTAGTTTTTGTGGAATAACAGAGGCAGATCTTACAAAGTGACTATATTTCTTCAAGGTCGGCAGTCAGTTATTTGTTTTAAATATTTGTACATACTTTGTTCATTGTAATGAGATAATTAACGCAAATGTATGCTGTTAATTATTGGCAATATACGGTGAATACATTCCTTCAATTATATGCAGTTATATTATACACTAACGTGCAAAACTTAAGTATGGACGTAATTTTGGAGCAGACAACCAAGAAACTGGCAGTAGAGAATTTTGGAGCTATTAGCATAATGAACATCTAGCTCGGTAGAAAGGTAATTCCTAGGTAAATAGTGGAAACAGTACATCAAAGTTCACACGAGACCAGAATAAAAGTTTGCAGTAGGCGATCGTAGGCCATGATAATAACCAAAGGCAAAATTAAGAGGATTATTGAAGACATTCGCTTGAGGTGCAAGTCAGTTTTACGCGTAACATGTTTGAAGAAACTATCTGGATGATTCCACTAGTGGAGGAATGATCGTTAAACTTGAAGAGAGACGCAGCGCGACGAGTGTTCCAGAATTTGATGTCGAGTGCATTGCATTCTCAGGTACTTGGCGAGGCTTCTAAAGCACTGATATAGCTGTGAAAATAATTTGTGGTGGTCGGATTCTACAGGCAAAAATAGCCAAGATTGCTCTCTATGAGAAAACAAGCGAATAGCAGTGAAAGAGCAATACTGCTCAGTCCCTGCGCACGGAAAATCAGAGAACTTATAATAGAATTTACGTTCTTTAATATATTATATAAGCTGATTATAATTTCTTTGATCAAATGCCGAGGTTTACCGCGACCAAAAGCATTTGTCAAAATTGGAATATCCGCCCGTCTTCCTGAACGTTGCATCTCACTGACGGCAGTCCATCGATGATGCCATTTATTAGTTAAATGAGCACAAAGATCATCACCGAAGTCAGATTGTTTTTACAGATGAGAGCCGTTTTACAATCGTGAATGATTCTGGATACCAGCTGATATAGAAAGAATGGGGAAGCGGTTTCATTCCGGAGAGATGTTCTTAAAAAGTCGAAGCTAAGATGAAGAAAAACTCATTTTTCGTCTACATGAAGAATTTGATAGATTTAGCACAAATGGCGCAGAGCCTGCAACAAACAAATAAACCGTTACACTCACACCAACACTCACACCAAAGCAAAAGTAAAAATCCCGTAACAGTCATCTTAAAGAAAATTTCTAAAATCATAATCGAGGAAGATATAATAGTAGGTATGACATTAAGACAATACTCTGTCATAATGGTAAAATAGTTTACCAAGAAAAGCAGAGATACGATCTAAATTCTTCCGATTTACGTATTAGAGCTAGATAGAACTGAAGCAGAAAAGGCAACTTACAACGTTAATCATGTTATTGGAATAAATATTTAGAGAGAAGAATTTAAACCAAGAAGAAACGGGCGAACACAATGCTTCAGGGGCCAAAGTTTGAGCCTCACCAGAATCTATGCTTCAAAGCAACCAGACTGAATTATAAATCAGAAGAGAACCAGATTTCAAATGTATTCTGAACCACAAAAGTGCCGTATGCTGTTAAAAGACGAAACTTATCTGCCTATTCTGCATAAGAACATACGTGAATTGTTTTAGGAAAATCCTAGTGCATCAAGAACCACACAAAGCCCCAAAAGCAAGCGACACAGGCGGAGAGAAAGATCTCAGGCGTCAGAATTTAAGGGCGTAGGGGTCAAATTTTAGAATATAGGGAAGGCACTTGGCAGCATAATTTAGGGACGGTAAAAGTTTTAGAATTTAGGATCTGCAGAGGTTGCGCCGGACGGCCTAGCACTGGCTCTGACTGGGGAAACATTATGCTAAATGGTCGCACTGACCTCTACATTTTCTGTGGACATATCTAGAGTTCCTATGGAGATTTCTATTGTTAAGAGGTAACCTTTCCCTATGCGCGTCTATCAGAGGTGCTAGTTTTTACGGATACAGCCGTACACATCATGACCAGAAACATAACACATACCAGAATACATCAGACTCATGTTGTTTAGAAGCTGTCTGAAATTGAAGATATTACTCGAATGAAAGGCAACATGCTTCTTTTATTTTGCTCCTGTTTGGCATATGAGGGATACTTTGAAAAAGATATCTCTCTGCATAACCACATCCACCTGCAAACACCAATTACTTCTTTTTTAGTATCAATGAGCAATTTTACTTATAATTAAAACAGCTCATTGAAGAGCGAATATGCGTATCACAAAAGTTGTTTGATAATTTGGTACTGAGATACGGTACCACATAACATTGCAATTATAAGGAAGATCATACTATTAAGTAACAAACGTGTGTTTGGTTGTTCTCGCTATTGGACAGACAATCATTTGTTCCCATACCGCAGTTCCTATAAAGTCCTTCTCTGCTTGATTTCATACTATATGCGTAGGTCTTAATTTCTAAAATTAGAAGTGGCTTAGCCCTATGGAAGACCGTCAGCAAAGAGGAGCAAGAGTAAATAAATAAATAAAATGACTATTAAACTCATTACTAATTTTAAAATTAAATGGTTAATTAATATCAAATTAATTAATAGCTATTTAATTGTTTATAAATTGTTATTTAATCACTAATTATTATATAATTAATTATATACTTAATTAATTAATTATATAATTGATGATTATTAGATAAATAAATTATTATTATTTATTGAAATACAGTGGATGGACAAAAATATGGAAACACCTTGTGAAATGCATGTTTGAAAAGAAAGATTGATTTTAATGAAATACGTAGGTGGCGCTGGCGTTTTTGACTACTGACGCCACCTATACAACTTCGTAAATGTGCTAAACAGTTCAGTTGTTGTCGGAGTACTGTTATGTGAGGTTATCATTGCATTATGTCAGAGTTAACAGATTTCGAACGTGGCCAAATTGTTGGAGCACGTATGGTAGGTGCTTCCGTAAGCAAGGTAGCCGAGGTGTTTAGTGTTTCAAGAGGTACTGTATCGAAGATTTATTTGAAAAGCGGAAAAACATCATCTGCTAAATTACAGCGCGGACGAAAGTGTGTCCTGAGTGATCGTGACAGACGATCATTAAGGGCAATTGTGACGAAAAATAAGAAGACCACAGCTGCAAAAGTTACTGCTGAAATGAATGTTGTGTTACCGAACCCTGTGAGTACCAAAACAATTAGAAGGGAGCTTCATAAACAGGGAGTTGCTGGCCGTGCTGCAATTGAGAAGCCACTCATCAGTGATGCTAATGCCCGTAACAGGAAAAGGTGGTGTTTAAGTCATAAAGCCTGGACTATAGAGCAGTGGAAGCGAGTAATATGGTTTGACGAGTCTTCTTTCACATTGTTTCCCACTTCTGGCCGAGTTTACGTCTGGAGAACGCCATCTCAAGCCTATAATACAGACTGCTTGTTGCCAAGAGTGATACATGGCGGGGGTTCTATTATGGTTTGGGCAGCCATATCGTGGTTCTCTGCTAGCCCCATGAT